CTTTCTTCTTTGGAACATTCTGGGTATTGTTTCTACTTTGCAAACGCTAATACTATACCCTTAGATAAATCTTTATCATTTATTTCTGGGTTGTTTTTTTTTGGGGGGGGGGGGCTGTTTGTTTTTAAATCTGAAATAGGTCTTGGAGATACAGCATCGCCTTTTCTTCACTTTGCTCTATGTTTTTAAAATATATTTTTATTGATTTCAGAGAGGAGAGAAGGAGAGAGAGAAACATCAATGATGAGAGAAAATCATTGATCAGCTGTCTCCTGCACACACCCTCCTGCAGATTGAGCCCACAACCCAGGCATGTGACCTTGCTCAGAATGGAACCCTGGACCCTTCAGTCTGCAGGCCAAGTCTCTATCCACTGAGCCACACCAGTTAGGACAAAGCCCTGGTTTGTTTGTTTTTTAATATATTTTTATTGATTTTAGAGAGGAAGGGAGAGGGAAGGAGAGATAGAAACATCAATGATGAGAGAGGATCATTGACTGGCTGCCTCCTGCACGCCCCCTACTGGGGATCAAGCCCAAAACCCAGGCATGTGCCCTTGACCGGAATCAAACCTGGGACCCATCAGTCCAAAGGCTGACACTTTATCCACTGAGCCAAACCAGCCAGGGCAAAGCCCTGCTTTTTAAGGAGCTCCCTGTGTGGTGGAAAGGATGGACTTAGATAATTGCTCCTCCGTGGTGCTCTGTTCCTATAAAACTGCCTTTCACCTTCGATCCTCCCTCTCTACCTGCCACCTTCCAACAACTGCCCTACATCCTGTTTCCAAGAACTTGCATCTCCACTCCATCCTGGCCAAACCCAGGACTTCATCATCACCTAGAACTGCTACATTTCTGAAAATTTATATTCTAATATGCTGGTTTCCACCACAACCTCCTGCCTTTCTATATTCTGAATAAATCCCAGGCCCCTAGTGACCCCTCATGACAGACGCCAACACAGTAGAAGAAACCCAGCCTTATAGTAACAAACTAATTTAAAATAAGTTAAGGGGGGTGAGGGGTGGGGATAACAGCATGTGCCGGGGGGTAGGGAAGGCCGGGGGAAGGTCAATGGGGAAAAAAAGGAGTCATACGTACTACTATTTGTAATACTTTAAACAATAAAATAAAATTAAGAAAAATGAAAATGAACAACAATCTATACCAATAATAGAGGAATATGCAAATTGTTTGGGATGCTGTCACAATAACAGTAATGACAAGCAGGCTGCGTGGGGCGACCAGGCCAGCAGGGGGGCAGTTGGGGGCGGCCAGGCTGGCGGGCGGAGGCGATTAGGGGCAATCAGGCAGGAAGGCAGGTGAGCAGTTAGGAGCCAGTGGTCCTGGATTGTGAGAGGGATGTCCGACTGCCGGGATCTGGCCTAAACTGGCAATCGGACATCCCCCAAGGGGTCCTGGATTGGAGAGGGTGCAGCTGGGCTAAAGGGACTCCCCCCCACCATGCATGAATTTTGTGCACCAGGCCTCTAGTCATAAAATAAAATAAGTTAAATATCTATTCAGTTTCTCAAGGAAACATCAGCGGCGGGAGAATGGAGCAGGAGCATGAGTCAATGCACACCTCAAAGTCTGTAAAATTCTGTCTCTCCCAGTCAACATTTCCCACCTGGATGGTGGCCCTGCTCAGCGCCTTCAGTGTCACCTCCAGCTTCGCGTCTGCTCTCATGTCATGTTGGTTTTGTGTGACAGAGAAAAACTCAGATCTGAGCCAGTGGAACTGCTTTCTTCCTCCAGCTCCCCTCCTCTCCGAGGAGCCCAGTGCTAGCATCACTCCGGAAGTGGAGGCGACACCTCAGCAGGAGCACCCGTGTCCCCTCTGTGTGTGCGTGGGGGGTGGGGAGGGTCCTCTATCACGCACTCACCACACAGGTCTCACCTAACTCAGCTCCCAGACTGTGACCTGAGGACGGGGACCAGGTCTTCCCCTGAACAGAACCCAGACCTTTGGACACACATTCTACAAAAGAGCCCATCTTACTAGTAGGTCCGACCTGATGGTTGGTATAATTGTTGTTCCTTATGCTAATGCTGGAGTGGGAGGGGCCAGGAAAGGAAGAGATTTGAGGGGGAGGGAATATCAAGGTAGGACACTTACTGGAAGCCAAACACAGGGCTAGGCATTTACATCATTATATTCTTAAGTTCTGACCACTCCATAAGGCAGGCAATGTACCCATTTTACAATGAAGAAACTGAAGCTCACCAAGATTGAATCATTTAAGATCACATCAAAGCTTGGATTCCGTCTGACTCCAAAAACCTGCATCCTTTCCAGATGCTGTGACAGTGTGATTTGATTTCACTTTGTAACCCAATGGCTTATTTGTTGAACAAATAAATGGGATAAACAGTCCATTTTAATTAGGAAATTAGGTCAATAAATATATTTTCCTGAGACTCACTTTCAGGCCAAAATTCTCATATTTCCTGCTTCTCAAAGCTTATTTTCATCTACGTTATCAAGAGAATGTGCTGGTGTATCTGTATGTAGTTGGACATGTGTGTGTCACATGTGCCGTGTTTTACAGGGTTTGGAGGGCCTGGTGCTGGCCGTCCAGGCTGAGGGAGACCTGAACCCCACCTCCCGCCCTGCCTCTCCCTCCAAAGGCTGCGGCCTTGGCCTTCCCCGTGGGAGGTCCTGTCTGGGGAAGTTGTTCACAGGTTGGGCCTCCTCCCCTCCCCTTTCTGAGGTTTTGAGAACTGGTGACTTCCCCTGCTGTCAGCTGGCAAGGCTCTGGGCAGTGACTAGCTTCCCCCAGTAACCGTCAATGGGAGACGGATTTGATTGGTTCAGAAGCATCCTCTTAACCAATAAAGTGTCAATACGTTGAATTCTACTTTCTTTCCCCCACAAGCCCTGGAACAATGAGATGCTGGTTTTGTCACTTACTGTCAATCTTGTGTTTTAGAAAACAAAATGCTGTAATACTATATGGAGATTGAGAAATGGGGCTGAGATGGGGTGGGGGTGGAATGAGTGGCCCGTCCCACAGCACCCCCAGAAACTGGCTCCCCACCCCCCACAGAGGGAGTGGCTGGACAACTCCCAGACTGCTCTGCTCGAACCACAGAGGCAGAGACGCCCAGGGGCAGGAAGAGCGTAAGGAACGGCCCGGTTATTGCTTCAACCTCAAGCACAGGACCACTCGCCTCCGTAGTGCATGTCTGAACGCGCATGGCCTTCTCCCCGCACAGGCCCTCCCTGCTCAGCAGCCCCGTCTTCCTCTCCAGCGCATCCTGTCCCCTTTCCCTCTGACCCCATGCTTGTCTCACCGCCTCTGGGCCTCCTGCTATCCCTGTTGGCCTCCAGCTCGGCCCAGGAAGGCAATGTCCGGAGCCTGGGGAGATGGGCTCGCTTGGCTCTTGCAGGCAGGCAAGCACTGCCCACCCCTAGCAAGACGGAGCTGGACCCTGACTTCAGGGTACGAGGCTGAGCCCACAGTCTGGGTCTGGGAAGGGAGGTGGGGTGAGCCCTCTGGGAGGGCCAGGTTTTCCTGGGACTAAGGGCCAGCTGCCCATTGCGTCTCCTCTCTCCTCCCACCGATCACAGAGGTAGCAGGGCTCGGGCCCTTTCTGGGAAAAACTTCTTTGTGCCAGTCAGAGCCCTACTTCCTGGTGAAGTCACACAGGATGGTGATTTCCAAAGAGTGGACGGCCCTGCGTAGTAAGGGCCGTCAGGGTTCCCGGTGCTGACGTCAGGGTTCCCGGTGTTCAGGGCCGGGCCTGAC